AAGACCCCCCCCCCCCCCCCCCTTTGCCCTCCCGCCACTCTGCCTCTGGCCCTGTACACCCCCCAGAACCTTCTACTGTGGGGTGAAGGAGGGAAGAAAGCCTGCATATGGCAGTCACCACCCAGCACCCCACGCTACCACTACTGCACATCTGGCCATGCACAACCCCTTCCCTCCACTGGCTTCCTTCCCTCCCGGCTGTTCTCAGGGCCCAGTGGCGGCAGCAGCAGCAGTGGGGTGCCACCACTGTGCCCCACCTCCCATTCCCACTTCCCTCCCCCCCTCCTCTGTGCTGCCTCCCCCTCCCTGCTGGCTTTTGGGAAAGGAGGACACCCAATAACCTCCGAATCTATTTCCTTTCTTTAGTTGCTTTCACAACCATTTAATGCCCGGCTCTCGGAGCTGGAAGCAACAATTTAGTTTTTCACCAGCCAGCAGGGGAAGAACATGTCCCTACTGAGCTCGCATACCAGGATGAACTTGGAGATATGGGCTGGGGCTATGGGGAAGGAGGCCCCAGGTCCTGGGCATGACTAAAACTGCACCCTGCCAAGGTAGAGAGGCCTAGTGGAACTGCCGGTGGCACGGCAGCCCCGGGAAAAGCCAGAACCTCTAACCTCCCTGGTGAAAGGCAGGTAGGGGGCACCCAATAACCTCCAGCCACCACACACGCACACAGTTCTGGCTAGGGAAAGCCCAGACCTGTAAGATTTTTAAGAGGCCTGAGGCTTACTGGTTGCAGTGGAATTTCATAGATTTCATAGACATCAGCGCTGGAAGGGACCTCGGAAGACCATCGAGTCCAGCCCCCCGCCCAAAGGGCAGGAAGTCAGCTGGGGTCATAGGATCCCAGCAAAATAAGCATCCAGTTTCATCTTGAAGGTGTTCAATGAAGGCGCTTGAACCACCTCCGGTGGCAGGCTGTTCCAGACCTTGGGGGCTCGGACAGTAAAGAAATTCTTCCTTATGTCCAGCCTGAAACGATCTTGAAGTAGTTTGTGACCATTCAACCTCGTCAT